GGCTCCTCCTCCTACCTCACAGGTTTCCGCCGCTCCAGTGACCAGCAACGTCCTCCGGCACGTCGGAAAAGGGGCAAGCCACCAGCTGAAGCAAGCAGCCCCCCTGCCTGCGCACCAAGAGGGGCAGAGCAGATGATTTTGCCCTGAGACATGGCAGCTAAAACCCTGCTTAGCACATCTGGCAGCCTTACTCGCTCGTTTAGAACAAAAAAACCCCACAAAAACAAAGCAGAAAAAGCACAGTTCGAAGCCAAACCTTCCAGACAACAACGGAGAAGAGAGGGGAAAACCACAGGTATTTTCTCCTCCAGCTCACCTTTAAAAATACAGAGTTATTTCACAAACTGGCCACGAGCAAACACGACTGTCAGGTTGCAGTGCCGCACGGGGCGTTATTTCCAAACCCATCTTTATTACAAAAGCTTCTGTTCATCAACATCAATTTTTAAAAAAAACAAAAAACCAAAGAAACCAAGCAAAACCTTAGGGAATAGTCTCTCCAACATTTTGCCAAGTGGCTGGATGTCTGTATCTCTGCTACCAAACGCCAAAGTTTTTGCTCACAGACGGTTTCTGGCCCATTTCCCTTCTCGTGTGTTCTCCTGGTCGCACAGTCGGCGGCTCCGGGCGCAGCACGGGTGTATGTTACAGACACAAACGCCTTTATCTGAGCTACAAGCGTCGCAGAACGGTTTCTACCGGTCGCAGGTTTTACTACCAGTTTCCTCCCTCTCCTACAAAACCAGTTCTATCAAACTCCCTCCCGACGCTGCACCTAAAAGTCAGCCTTGCCAAAATGAGGCGGCTCTCAACCAGCTCCCCCGGCCTGACCCGAGCTGTGTGCACCACCGCTGCGTTCCTCTGCCAATTCCTAAAACAACCAACGGGCTCAGGGTTCCCAGAACCTGGATATTCACTTTTTCAGCGGAAGATGCCACCGTTGCCTATTTCCACGGCCTGTTCTGGAGGCTGCTCCTGCTGAGCGTGCGGGCGGTGAGGGATCCAGCGGTGCTGGGGAGGCTGGAGCTGCTCCTCGCGGTGGTCACTTTGGTCTCCCGGCCTGAAGAACCGCGGCTAAGACGGCCTGGGGGGGGAAAAAAGAAAAAAAAAAACCCAAACAACCCCAAGATCAGAAGCTGTGGGTGTGATGGAGCACAAATGATCTGCTGCCCCTCGCTCCAGCTCTCGCTGTAAACATGCAGACCCTTGAATAATTCAGTGCAGGGTTCTGGGCAGTCTCTATCCAGCCTACGAATTCCAAGAACCTACTAACCACCAGTAAAACCTACAGATATTTAAATATAGTGGGCAGAATGGTATATACCCACGCTCAGCAGGCCCAGGATTTTGCCACCGTGTAGCTTTATCAGATTAAAGTCCTCCAGGAGGAGCCCAGCACAGGTTGTGGTGGGTCTTCTCAGGCAGTCTAGAAATAAAACCTCTCCCTCTCCCAGCTGTCTCACGGGGAGCTCACAGCAAAGCAGAGCGCTGCGGCGGGGCAGGCTCCAGGGCCGCAGAAAGCGGCGGCAGCGTTTGATCTGGAGTCTTACTGGCAGGGCCTGAAGGAACGTGCTCCTCTTCCAGGTAGAACTTTATCTTTTGTAGGTCATCTGCAGAAAACCTCCATTTATTCTCAGCCCGTGCGGGTGGCGCTCTGGGAGAGGGCTTTTTTCGGGCAGATCCAGCGGGAGCTGCTGCCTGGCAGGAGGTGGGGAGGGAGCCGGTGATCAGACCGTCGGGGATCTTCTGCGCCAGGACCTTGAGGCCTGTGGACGTACAGATGGCCCCGTTCCCAGTGACCACCAGCTAAGAGGGGGGACCAGGGATTTCACCCGTCCCAAATAAAACACTCGGCAGAGCCGAATCTCCCGCTCTTTTCCACCTCCCGCTCACACAGCCCTTGCTCTCTGCTCTCCACCGACCCACCCGAGACCTCGGGGAGCCCTACCCGTCCCCGCTTACCGCCAGATAACATGAACAAGTTCTCAAAGCCCCTCTCACACATGGTGGTGGCAGCCTGGCTGGCTAACCTCTCGTCGTTGTCATACAAAATGATAATTTTTCCATGGGCGTTTTTCTGACAGGCAGAAACAAGAGTTAAGGATTCACTTGTCAACTCACGGTGACCGTTAACACCTTTTAGAAAGAAAAAAAGAGAGAAACAAGCGGGACTGAAGGCTTGATTTGCTGTTTACCTGCCCTGCACCCATGATTTAAACCAGGTTTCTCAGTAGCTGAGGTGTGCCAGAGGCTGGAAGGACACAGCCTCACCCCCACTGGAGTGCGGCCCCCGCAGCAAGTGGCCACTGCTGTTTCGGAGACGGGTGACAGGCAACAGCAAGAAGCGCCTTCGTTTACAAGCTCCCCTCTCTCCTGCAGCCCTCACAACCACCTGGGAAATTATCAGCCTAATCCCAGCTAATAATCCTCTTTCTGTCCTCCAGGGAAAAGGCAATCCCCATCGAGGCGCTGAGAGGAAGCCACAGGATTCGATCAACGCAGCCCTCAAGAAGCCCAGCAGCGGCGGGGGACGGGCGCCCAAGTACGGCTTTGCCTTCCCGCTGCCAAAAACCCCAAGAAATACCACATTCACGCAGCTCCCACTGGGGTCAAGAGGCGATACAGCCTCGAGGAACTGGAATCCAACATCTGACGGCGGCAGGCCGGTGTAATCAGAGCCAGCGTGAAGGTCCTCTCCCACCCTCCTCGAAACCCCCAGGTTTCGTTGGTTCGAGCATTGTCCTGCTCACAGCGACTGCTAAAGCTCCAGTTGGTTTTGGAAGCCCCCACCAACCTCCTCCCTACGTTTTTTTTCCCCCCATGACAGCACTTTGTGTACGTAAAGGATACGTATTCCAGAATACTGTTTGTGTATGGGTTCATGGTTCTAGACAGCATCGCAATAGGGTAGGAATAAGCTGCAGAAGAGGAAAAAAAAAAAAAAAGAGAGAGAAAAATCATACAGGAGCTGAGCACCCACCACCACCCAGGCTGCACCACAACCCACACACCCTTGTTAGGGTTCACCAGACTGGCAAACCCACCGAATGAGGGATTAACATCAGCTCAGTCTCCTCCTCATCCCTTTCCAGGAAAGACGGCTGGGCTGGATGGGTGCCGAGAGCATCCCGCCCTCCAGCGACGTCCAGCCTTGGGGAGGGGGGGAATGACGCCACCCAAAGGGCTCAATACGTGACGCCGAGGCCGCTGGGGGACTCTGGCCTCCTCACCTCCAACGATGTGACATTGGTCGTAGGCGTCTTGGTCTCGGACATCCAAGAGCAGGAAGGGGCAGTCGGGATAAGGCAGGTCTTTAGCCTGAGCCTCGGCTTTCTTTGGAGCGTCCTTTTCTATATCCAGTTCCCCGACGCCGCTTATCACGCTGCAAGAGAGAGGAGGTTACGGTGCGAGCTCCCTCAGTCACCCTTCTGACTCTTCCCCAGGCCACAGTGCTTGTCCATCAGCTGTCCCAACAGTCCATTTGCCTTCCAGGACAGCTGGACGCCACACAAAAACGTAGAGAGTCTATTCCAGGCTTTGCAGTCATTTGTAAAAGACTGGGTTTATTTTTATCGATATAAAAAATAAACAAAGTACGGCTTTGCTATGGGAACATACAGTACTCTTCCCGATCAGGCACAGTCAGGAGTTTTATTCAACATCCTAAGCGACTTGGAGGTGAAGGAGGATAATTCTAAGAAGCTGCCAACGCTGAGATTTCGGCAAGTCTGACACGCTGAATAACTGTCAGTCACCTACGCAGAGGATTTCCATCACTACACTGGATACAGGACACGAACAGAAACCTCCAGATCCTCATAGCGGTCGTGAAATCACAGGATCACAGTGTCAGGGGCTGGAAGGGACCTCAGATCATCTAGTCCAACCCTCCTGCCAGAGCAGGGTCACCCAGAGCAGGGTCACCCAGGAACGTGTTTAAGCGGGTGGTGGCTCTGACCCACGCCCACCCAGCCTGTCAGGCGAGCGTCTCAACTCCTCCGTCGACATTCGGACGGGTACAGCAAGGGAAGGGCTGAGACAAACCTTCCTCTTGCAGTGTCTTCCTCCTGTCTCTTGACTAGGGACCTACTGGGTTTGGGAACTGGCCTCTCAACCACAGGACAATCCATTAGGATCCTCAGGAGGGCACGTTACTGAGCTGACCAGAGTAGTTTATAACAGGGATTCTCGAACCCAAGGACCCAGATGGAATCCCACAAACCTATTTCCTCATCAGCCATTTAGACAATGACCAGGTGGCAACAGGGCTGGGTTACAGCCAAACCCCAAACTCGTTCAGACAGGAAAACCTGCCCACCCTCTCTCTCGCTCACATTCCCAGACCTGCAAACTCCAGCTTTAACGAGAAATACAGTAGAAAGCCACTTAGCAGCAATTTAAAATAACGAGCTGGATAAAAAAACCCTTATCTGCTAAGATAGGAAGAAAATGGTGTATTATCAGTCACCTCTGCAGCGTGGACCGATAGGATTCCCCGGCTCCCGTGTGGTTTATGAACAGGACCGGACTGGGTGTCCCCTCGGGGCTTCCTTTCCCATTTGTCCCCGCTGTGACTTCAGCCTCGGGAGCAGCAGCATCGCCATCTGGGGAAGGGAACAGGGTGCAAAGAGTTAAAATGCTGCAGGAAACAAACAAGTAGGTTTTAGGGCCAGTTTCTATTCTTAGAAGAAAGTGTCTCTCTTAAGGACAGCCTTATCTTCACCCTCCTCTAAGGATGATTTACCGAGAGCGTCAGAGTAAAAATAATCAAGAGCCACACGATTTTTAAGGGCTTAAGATCTCATTTTTAGAATGGAATAAAAACGTAGCTCTTGATGCACGAGATCTACTGAGTTTCTACAACAAACCTGGCAGCACGAGGCCTTTCTTAGTCACAAGCCTTGCTGGTTGAGGAGCGTTTCCCAAAGCAGAATGGCTGCAGGCAGAGGTTAAGATATTTTTCCCTCCTGACTAAAAGCCTTGCTGAATAGTCAGCTCTGTCAGGACACAGTTCACCACATGCCAGCGATCGGCTGAGACCTTTCTCTTTGTGCTTACAATAAATAGCGTTACCTTCCAGCTCGTGGATCTCCTCACTCGTCACTTCTAAGGTTTCATCAGATAGAGAGGCGACCTGGATGACCTGCAGGAAACAAGAGCAAGCAGTGATACCCTGACTCGCCCGCACCGGTGTCAGCGAAAGACAGCGGGGATCAGCTCGAGGGAAAACCCAACCCTCAAGGCAAAACGTGCTGAACTCAAGGCAACTTCTCCTGCATTTATTAAACAAAAGTTGCCGCAAAAGCCAAGAAAAGAAGGTTCAACCTGAAAGGAAAGCCGCATCTGCCGCGCTGGCAATATCCCCCACCAGAACGTTTCCTGGCGGTTACGAACGCTCAGTGCCACGTTTCAGAGCACACACCACACCGGCTACAACCGCGCGGGGTTCGGTGGTCTGTGGGAGCAGACCCAAAATAGTCACACACTGCACCAGGGAGCCACGGGGTTGGTCTTCACAACCCAGGGGGACTGAAGACAGGAGTCTGCAGAACCCCACGCCGTCACCACCCACAAGTTTATCCTTCCCTTCCCTCCTTAGAAGGCGGCTTGTCTCCTCCTAGTTTTTACCAGCTTTCTCGAATCAAAGTGTCAGCAACACACAGCTCTATCGACGGATCAAACTGTCCGTCTTTTAATATTTTGATTCATTTGTAATTAAAAAAAAATAGGCACAAAGCCTTGAAGTCCCAACCCTCCCACCTTCTGCAGTTAAACCCGCTGTTAGGGAGGGCTCGAGGCTGTGATGATTTGATGCAAAGCTGGAGGAGATCAGATCCGAATGCTACTTGTCACAGCCCTTGGTGTTGGTGTTTTTTTTTGTAAGAGGCTTGAAGATCCTCTTCAGTTAAAGGAAAGGAAAAAAAGGGAACAAATTTCACAGACAGCGTCACCACAAGCTTCAATTTGCAACCAAAAGGATTTGACTGCTCTGAAAACGGGGGCCTGAACGGTTTGTTTTTATTAAGGGAAATCTGTGAGGGCAGGGAGAAGCATTACACACTGAGGGCTGCACAAATACATCGAAAGCTTGAGACAAAGCAAAAAAAAAAAAAGCTGTGCATAAAAAATAACTTTCAGAGGCCAGAGAAGGAACTATACGTACCAGTTGGGCAAAAGTAGTCACCTTCAGTCTTTTAAACAGCTCGTCCTTTTTATACCTGTAATCTTCAAAAACAAACGAGGACAATGTAAGGGGGGCAGTTAATTCCCAGCTTTTGCAGACACCAGGTAATGGGCTTAGCCCTGCTTATTCTCAGAGACTCTTCTCCAGGATTTCTGAGCTTGTGGTGAAGGAAGGGAGCAGCAAACCTGAAGACTTTCTGGGAAAAGCAATATCCGTTCTAAAGAGAGACGTGATGAAAGGGGAGAAGGCAGATTTAGTTGCTTTTAAGACTCAAATGCGTGTTCCTTCATGGCTTTGGCTGGGGGAAGGAAGCAGTTTCATGAATTTATCGCCTCACCTGCTGTTCTTTGGAGCCCGCTCCCGTCACAAAGCCTCTTAACCCAAAAGATTTAATTTACCTGAATTTTTAACTTGTGTAAGTTACAGCAGAATCACAGCGCAGGGGCGCTGTCACTCAGACTCTCTCTTTCCAAATGCTCAGCTAAACGTGTACGTTTAATCTTACCGATTAAAAAGCTTTTCTGACTTTATTTGACAATTAAATTCCGATTCCTACGACTTGCTGATGGGGGGATCTGAAGGAATGGATGACTGACAGCAGCTGTTGAACACCGCAGCAGAGCAGGGCGGATACCAGCCTGCAGCACCCGTAATTCCTACGGAGAAACTGCACTAACGGAATCTTCAGCCTGAAGACAAAGCTTAGGTAGGCAGAAAACTGGGGGTCTGTTGGAAAGGCTGGCAAACCACCAGAGCAGAGATGACCAGCGCTCAGGAAGCGATGACAAGGATGGAAGCCTGACAGAGAGACGAGGAAGAGAGAAGCCTTCTAGTGCGAGACAAAAGGGCAGGAGAGAGGAGGGAAGACGAGTATCAGCAGGAGAAATAGCCTCCCACGGGAAGTAAAGGAAGCTTCATCCTTTGGGAAGTTTGCAGCTAGAAAGGAGATAGCAGAGGAGGGGGTGGGGGGAAAAGAAAAAAGATCAATCCTGCGCGGGCAGGGAAAGGCAAAGAAGATGAAGAAGATTCCTCCCCTGTCGCCGAGTTCCGCACGCAGCTCTTAAAGCCACGCTTTAGGGAATCTAAGGGCTCTCAGAAAACAAAACCGCTCCTCCTTTCTTTTCCTCCTCCTTACCAGGCTCCACCACTGATCTTTTATTTAAAAAAAAAAACCCTTTGCATTTTTCTCACAACTTTAGCGACTATTGGGGGATATTCCAAGCGGGGCTCTCTCCAGCTGTTCAGCTCAGAGTGCAGGACCTCGAGCAAATCCAGCCAGTTAAGCAATTCGAAATCCTCTCAAACCATCTGCCCAACGCTCCGTTAGCTTAAGCAAGGGATGAGAAGGGGGAAGGGCTCCAATCCGCGTCCCTGGAACCACCACGCACAAAAATTAGCACAAAATTAGCTCATGGAGGCTCTCGAGCTGACATGTGTTTAGAGAAGGAGCCACAGGGATGCTGGAGGCCGAAATATAATATAATATAATATAATATAATAT